TAATACTGAACAGCGAGAAGCTGAAAGCTTTCCTCTGTGATCAGGAAGAACACAGGGATGTCCACTATCCCCACTGTTATTCAACATAGTACTGGAGGTCCCAGCCATGGCAATTAGACAAAACAAAGAAATACAAGGAATCCAGATTGGTAAAGAAGAAGTTAAACTGTCACTATTTGCAGATGACATGATATTGTACATAAAAAACCCTAAAGACTCCACTCCAAAACTACTAGAGCGAAAATCGGAATTCAGCAAATTTGTAGCATACAAAATTAACATTCAGAAATCTGTGGCTTTCCTATACACTAACAATGAACTAATAGAAAGAGAAATCAGGAAAACAGGTCCATTCACAATATCATCAAAAAGAATAAAATACCTAGGAATAAACCTAACCAAGGAAGTGAAAGACCTATATCCTGAAAACTATAAGATACTCTTAAGAGAAATTAAAGAGGTCACTAACAAATGGAAACTCATCCCATGCTCCTGGCTAGGAAGAATTAATATTATCAAAATGGCCATCCTGCCCAAAGCAATATACAGATTCGATGCAATCCCTATCAAATTACCAACAACATTCTTCAATGAACTGGAATAAATAGTTCAAAAATTCATATGGAAACACCAAAGACCCCGAATAGCTAAAGCAATCCTGAGAAGGAAGAATAAAGTGCGGGGGATCTCACTCCCCAACTTCAAGCTGTACTACAAAGCCACAGTAATCAAGACAATTTGGTACTGGCAAAAGAACAGAGCCACAGACCAGTGGAATAGATTAGAGACTCCAGACATTAACCCAAACATATATGGTCAATTAATATTTGATAAAGGTGCCATGGACATACAATGGGGAAATGACAGTCTCTTCAACAGATGGTGCTGGCAAAACTGGACAGCTACATGTAAGAGAATGAAACTGGATCACTGTCTAACCCCATACACAAAAGTAAACTCCAAATGGATCAAAGACCTGAATGTAAGTCATGAAACCATAAAACTCTTAGAAAAAAACATAGGCAAAAATCTCATGGACATAAACATGAGTGACTTCTTCATGAACATATCTCCCTGGGCATGGGAAACAAAGGCAAAAATGAACAAGTGGGACTATATCAAGCTAAAAAGCTTCTGTACAGCAAAGGACACCATCAATAGGACAAAAAGTTATTGTACAGTATGGGAGAATATATTCATAAATGACAGATCCAATAAAGGATTGACATCCAAAATATATAAAGAGCTCACACGCCTCAACAAACAAAGAGCAAATAATCCAATTAAAAAATAGGCAGAGGAGTTGAATAGTCAGTTCTCTAAAGAAGAAATCCAGATGGCCAACAGGCACATGAAAAGATGCTCCACATCACTTGTCATCAGAGAAATGCAAAGTAAAACCACAATGAGATATCACCTCACACCTGTTAGGATCGCCATCATCGAAAAGACAAACAACCACAAATGTTGGCGAGGTTGTGGAGAAAGGGGAACTCTCCTACACTGCTGTTGGGAATGTAAATTAGTTCAACCATTGTGGAAAGCAGTAGGGAGGTTCCTCAGAATGCTCAAAATAAAAATCCCATTTGACCCAGGAATTGCACTTCTAGGAATTTACCCTAAGAATGCAGCACTCCAGTTTGAAAAAGACAGATGCACCCCTATGTTTATCACTGCACTATTTACAACAGCCAAGATATGGAAGGAACCTAAATGTCCATCAGTAGATGAATGGATAAAGAAGATGTGGTACATATACACAATGGAATATTATGCAGCCATAAGAAAAAAACAGATCCTAGCATTCGCAACAACATGGATGGAGCTAGAGGGTATCATGCTCAGTGAAATAAGCCAGGTGGAGAAGGACAAGTAGCAAATGATTTCACTCATATGTGGAGTATAAGAACAAAGGAAAACTGAAGGAACAAAACAGCAGCAGAATCACAGAACCCAGGAATGGACTAACAGTTACCAAAGGGAAAGGGACTAGGGAGGATGGAAGGGAAGGGAAGGATAAGGGTGGGGAAAAAGAGGGCATTATGATTAGTATGCATAGTGCGTGGGGGGGCACGGGGAGGGCTGTGCAACACAGAGAAGACAAGTAGTGATTTTACAGCATCTTACTATGCAGATGGACAGTGACTGTGAAGGGGTATGTGGGGGGGACTTGGTGAAGGGGGGAGCCTAGTAAACATAATGTTCTTCATGTAATTGTAGATTAATGATACCAAAATTAAAAAAAAGAAACAAAGAAAGTCTATGGAAACGTTACAGATTAAAAGAAGCTATAGAAATGACAAGTAAATGATTCTAGACTGGATCCTTTACTGGAGGGGAAAAATGCTTATAACATCAACCTTACAAGTTCAACTGAAAAAAATAGAAAATAGATAATAAATTACATAAAAATACTGTATCACTATAAATCTATAATGTTAACTTTACTGTGTATATAAGACAATTTCTCTGAAGAAGTATACACCAAAGAACCTGGGGGTAGAGGGCCATGACATATATAAGTAAATAGGATAAAATGTTAACAACAGGTGAATCTAGGTAAGGGGTATATCTGTGTTTTTTGTACTATTTTTATTTTGTAACTTTTGTAAATTTGAAATTATTTCCAAATAAAATGTTAAAAAAATGCCTTTGTATCATCAGATCCTAAGCAACCACCATCCAACAGGGAATTATTTTTTAGGCCCTCATGTCATCTGCTTCTGCTCTTCAAAGAGCTTGACACTGTTTTCATTTTAACTTCACCTGAAGTTTTACAAACTCCCTATATGTGCAACTGAGATTCAGAATTGTAAAAGAAGTGTATTCTTAGCAGGAAAGGGGTGGAGACTATAACCCCTGAAGGTGAAACTCTCTACTTGCCATATGTGAAAGTTTCAAAACACTAATATTTTCAGATGTAAGCTTAAGGGGACCTTAACCTGTACTTGCCTATAATTCTTTCACCAGGAAATAGGAAAAGTGTGTCTTACTAATACAAAATCCCTTTGGTAAATATGGACATAGACCCTATCTCCTTGTCTACTAATTTAGGATCAGCTCTTAACTATCAAAACTTCTTCCCATGCTGGAATGATAAAGGTGAGGGAAAAGAAAACACATCAGATTAACCAATTAAAACACATCTACTCTTTTGGTAGGCCAGGACCTCACTCTGGTGAATGAGGAGAAGACAGATATGGGGACATGGAGACCTAGCAATACTGACAGAAAAGAGCAAATCATCATATAGGGAATCCCCAACATTCAGAGAGAAAGGAACCCTCAACCTTCAAATAGATGAGCTCAGCCATCTGCAGTAATGCCTTACCCTAGGAATGACTTAGGTACATTGTAATGATGGAACTTTCTCTGGAAAGTACCAAAGACCACTCAAGGTAAACAAAGTCAATCTTCAGAACTTGAATACAAAAGGGAAATGAATTTTCTGAGCTTCTGGAAAGCTAGAGGCAGAGATACTCCTCAGGGATATCTTGCTCCTCCCAACCCAACCCTGGATGAGGATGTTAACTAATAGATGTTGAAGTCCGTTGGAGAACCAGGAGAGTCCTGGATATCTGCATGTATTTTCCATTAGTTTATTTGTATTTATTCTTTATGAATGGCAATATAAAAAACTTCATAAAAAAGGATTGAGACATAGCGAGAAAGTTTCTCATATGCTGTGAGACCTTGCCTTGCATAGTGTCACTGCACTCCTATTAGGGACTCTGGGGGCCAAGGGTAGCTACACTAAGATGGGCTATACCTGCTACTGATTTGGGTGGCTACTTTATTTCAGCCAAATTTCTAGATCCATGGTTAAATAAGTCAGGTCTATGTGGGAGGGGTCTCTTTCAACCAATCTGTAGTAAATCTGAAATTATGCAAAAAGCTGTAACATAATTATATATGTTGTAATATGCACAGGGAAGAGACTGTGTTAGCACAAAGGTGGTTACATAGCACCTAAAGAGCAGAGATCCGAAGGACAGAACTTTGCCAATGTTGATCCAATCCTGCTCAAGGGAGCAAAATATTATCTAGTAGATCTAAGTATTCCAGTAGCCATAGAAGGACATTCTATTATGGAGGGAAGGAATAGTTCATCAGAATTCTCTGTATCCTAGATGAAACAGGCTTCAAAACCAACACTGGGCAAGTCCTCATCTGTAAAGTATAGATAATTGTAGCATCTATCCCTAGGATTATAAGAAGATTAAGTGAGTTGATACGGGAAAAAGTATTTAAAATAGCACCTGGCACATGGTAAATGCTCACTGGCATCAGTTATTTTCTAAGACCAAAAGATTACCTTTGGCCCAATTCCATATCCAATTAGTAACTTTCTATTAATTCTGGGTTTTGCTGGTACCTTAATAACACCAGAAGGGAGGTAACTTGGAAGTAAACTCAAGAATTCCTGTCAAAATCGAGTTTCTAGATCACCATAGTTGAAGACTAGATCATGGCTGTGGTCCTCTACCGTTCTGCACATCAGGGGGATTTTTGATTGTCACTGTGATTTGGGATGCTGCTAGAATTTAATGCCTAGGGGCCAGAGATGCTGGGTGAAGTCAGTCCTACATGATAGAAAAATTGTCCTGCACCAAATACCCATAGTTCTCTAATTGATAAACACTGCCCTAGACTACAATGAATCCACCAAAGTACTTACCTCTAATGCCTAGGCAGCCAGCAGAGCCACCTCTGAACTTCACCTAAATCCAAGATCCCATAGGTCTCATATTTACCTACAATTTCATATCGGACAATCACTCTGCCTGCCACTTCTAAAGAGCTCCACCAGTTAATGCAGATGGTATGTGCCAGAAGAGTCCCAGCAGTTTCTGCAATTGGATCATCAATGATTCCAAATAAAACTGGCTCTCAACATTCTGGAGAGTGTCAGGGTCTAGTAAACTGGAAAGGTCCTTCAAGAAAGGTTTTGTCTAAGCATTATGAAAAACCACAGTGGAGGATTGGACTAGCATACTCACATTGGTGAGATCTTCAAAAGCTGATCTCTTTTTGAGTGGTCCCTGAGTTGATGATGGAGATATCTTTGCTTGGTAATTCTCCCCTCTCTAAAAAAGTAAAAGAGGTAAATGAGTATATCCAATTGTGAACAGTCTTTTCAGAGACTTCAGGTCCTCTTTAGGGCTTAGAAGGAAACTCTAAAATCTCAGAGCAACTGGAGATGCATATAATAAACCACAACAAATGAAAATATCAGCACTCACTTCTGCTCAGAGTCCCTAAGGTAATCTTGACAATGGGGACAAGGCTGTGAGGAGAGGAGATAACCATCAGTGTTACTCTCAGAATGAGCAAAATAGCTTGGTGAACTAATTTTCCTCCTTACTCTTCTCATACTTATGGTTATCCTATCCAAGATTAACAACCACGACCACTACCCCGCCACTCCCCCAGTCATTCCTTCAGTGTAGATGCTTGCACGTAAATTAGTTCAATAATTTAACAAATATTTAAGTTAAATGGTTTATTTAAGACATTTACAATAAGGACAATAACAAACATACCCACATACTGGTCCAAGATCAGTTCATTACTAGTTAACAGCCTCAGTTTTTTTATCAGTAAAACTGGAATGATAACTTGTCTTATTTGAAGATTGAATAAGAGAATACATGTAAAAAAAAGGACTGTATAAAGTGTAAATGGACAAAAAACAACTTTAAAAGTATATAGTCCAATATGATTTTAAACCTCACAGGGAAAACTTTATATTTTAAGAAAGGAGTTTGGTAATCCATACTAATCCCTAATTGTTAGTGTATACAACAGTGGGATGGTAGAACGGAGGAGAAGTATTTTGGAGCAAAGGGGGCTTTCTTTCTGGGTATTGTTTATCTATGCATGCCTTACCCTACTCCCAAATGAGTAAAACCAACTCTATGGGGTTAAAGATTAGGATAAATTTTACTGTAGGACTCTTCTGATCCTTAACAGTTTTTATTGATGAAAGGCTCCTAAGTATCAGATTTCCTTTATGAAATGAGAACAAAGTCTGCCCTCGCTATATCAGAGAATTATTATAAGCAGAACATTGGGGCCACACCATTTATTTGCTCTATTCTCTACCTATACTATGAACTGTTAATATGTGACAGAGTAAGTAATCAGAAATTTAGAGAGTTAGATTCAAAATACAGCAAACCAGTATAGCATAATAGAGCAATCCTGAAAAAGCTGAGAACTACTTCCATTTTCTAATTGATTAAGCAAAGAAAGAAGTAAACTATTAGTCTTTTCTCTAGTTCATGACAAATAATCCTAGTGAAAATAATTAGCAAAAACTAAAATATTTTGTGGTTACAAAAATATCAAATTTAGCCAACAAATAAGCTGTCATTCTGTTATCCAATTCCTACTTAATATTACTCATACCTCAGAGATATTACAGGTTCAGTTCCAGACCACCACAATAAAGCAAATGTAGCAATAAAGCAAGCCAAATGAATTTTTTGCTTCCCAGTGCAAATAAAAGGTACATTTACACCATACTGTAGTCTGTTAAGTGTACAATAGCATTTTGTCTAAAAAATATACATATCTTAATTTAAAAATATTTTATTGTTAAAAATGCTAACCATTTCATACAAGTTTTCAGCAAGTTATCATCTTTTTGCTATTAGAGAGTTTTGCCTTGATGTTGATTATTGCTGACTGATCAGGCTGATAGCTGCTAAAGATGGGGGCGACTGTGACAATTTCTTAAAATAAGACAACAATGAAGTTTCCACATTGATTGACTCTTCGTTTCGTGAACAATTTTTCTTTAGCATGCAATGTTGTTTAATAGCGTTTTACCCACACTAGAACTTCTTTCAAAAGTACAATCAAGCCTCTCAAACCCTGCCACTAATTTACCAACTAAGTTTATGTAATATTCTAAGTCCTTTGTGGTCATTTTAATAATCTTCACAGCATCTTCTCCAGAAGTGGATTCTATTTTAAGGAACCACTTTCTTCACTCATCCATAAGAAGCAATTCCTCATCCGTTAAAGTTTTATCATGAAATTTCAGTAATCCAGTCACATCTTCAAGCTCCACTTCTAATTCTAGTCCTCTTGTTATTTCTCCTACATCTGCAGTTACTTTCTCCATTGAAATCTTGAACCCCTAAAAGTCATCCATGGGGCTTTGAACCCACTTCTTCCAAACTCCCCTTAATGTTCTATTTTGACCTCTTTCCATGAACTGTATTCTTTGTGGCATCTAGAATGGTGAATCCTTTCCAGAAAGTTTTCAATTTACTTTGCCCAGATGAATCAGAGTGTAACTCCAGGGAGAAATTTGGGGTCAAAATACTTTTGAAACCAAAATCAGTCAAAGGGAGATTTAAAGTGGGGGAAACCCAGTTATTGCTTACAAGCAGTTGTCGACTTTTGCTCTCCCATGTCTCTCCCCACCCGCCTGCAAAAAAAGGGACCCTGCCCAAACTCTCCAGTCCAGATATGCCTTACCTCACCCTTGTAATTACCTATTGATATGGAGATGGACACCTCTGTCTATCCCTTGGAAACACCTATTGATATGGAGATGCACTAAGGCCAGGCAAGAGATTCTGGAAATATTACAATTTTACCCACAGCCCACCTCTCCAGAAATCTTGCCTCACAATTTACTCATTTCCCCATTTCAACAATGTCCCCTGTATGAGAAAACTGGAGCACTGTAGCCAGACTAAAAAGATACAATAGCAACAGCAATAAAATCATGATAATCCTCAAGCCAGAGGATTCAGCTGGTTCAAAGGCCTATGCAGATTAAGTCCAACCTCATGCATTCCACAGGTGGTCATAGCTGAACAGGTGCTGAGTTTAGAGCAATCACCACCCAGCAGCTGCAGCCAGGGGGTGGGTCCAGGCCACAGGGACTGTAGAAGAAAAAAACCTTAAGAGTGATAAGATGCATGTTTTAATGACACCAGCATAGGCAAATCTTCTCCATCAGGTAGGATGCATGCATAAGAGTGGTCCTGTGACAGGACACTGGCAGGAATGGGATCTCCTCCTGATCTAGTATACCAGATCTTCACCCCACTCCCTGCAGCAGTTACAGATGGGTCAATATATAGGGCTATGGGAGGTATATGCACTGGCCATAAAGATAAAACAAAACTCCCCTACAAGATGCTCTTACCTCCTGGACGTATTTGGAACACTACCATGATCTTTGGAGGCCACTGTGCTGTTACTCCAAGAACACACGGGATGCCAGCTTTCAAGCCTTTTCCCCAAGGTGCCAGAAGTGGTCCATGTGTTGAAATGTCCAGGGCCACATCCACTCAAAAGAGTCTCGAGGGTTTAATGCAGTTGGGGATGGCAGCAGAATGTTGCTCTACTACCCATATCCTGGCTTCAATAACTCCTCTTTGGTTTGCACATACAGTTGCATAGGAGAGGCAGCAATGTGTGAGCATACCCACAGAGCTCAAGGCTCCTTTTCTGGGCTTCTCATTCAAATGCTGTAGCACTGTCCATAAGCAAACTGACCAGCCCTGCAGATTATTTGTGTCTGACTTCAGGACAGATTTCAACAAGCCATTGTACTTCTCTATCATGCGTGTCCCAGCAGAGTTATATGGTACATCAAACTTCCACTTTATTCCTAATTGCTGCACCCATTCTTATAATGCATGTCCAGTAAAGTGGGTGCCCTGATTGCTCTCAATCACCTGTGGCTGGTCACAGGCTGCAAAGAGATGCTCTAAGCCCCCCTTGGTGGTTTGCTGATCTGCATGACATGCAGGAAAAGCAACCAACAATCCAGTATCTGGGTCCACACAAGTTGTGGCATAGCAATACCCTTCTGATATGGGCAGAGGCCCAATACAGTCTATCGGCCACCTGACACAGGCTTTCAGCCCCTTTACTATTGTCCTGTGTTGCTGTGGGACTCAGTGTAACTACCACTTAGAGCACACAAGGTACTCCTTCCGGTCTCTGCTGACTTTTTCAAAGGTCAATGGCAAGCCCCACTGACAGGCTACAGCCCACATTGTCTTTTGCCCTATCTGCAACAAACACTGATGTAACCATTGGGCCACATCAGAGGCAGGCTTTCCTTCTAGCCAATGCATCTGGGCCAATGTGTCTGCTTCATTATTCCCTGGGGATGCCAAAGGCAAATGGCCAGTCACATGACATACAGTAACAGTATTAGTCTGGCCAGAGGCCCATAGGTATTGCCACAACACTTGCCTCCAAAGGGGCCAATGACCAACCATCCAGTTGGCATGGCACCATATCAGTAGCCACAGGGTCAAGCCCCAATAGACAGCCCAGCTGTCAGTGCAGACAACTATAGGGAAGGGCTCCTGGGTGATCATGAGCCATACTGCCTGCAACTCAGACCACTGGCTGCTCTTCCCCTCTCTGTCCTCCATCCATATTGTCTCAGTCTTAGGATGGAAAGTCACAACCCTCTACTTCGGGGGCTGCCCATAACTGGAGACACCTGTATACCAAGCATCTTCAGCAATAGTGGCTTTTCCCTCCTGATAAGGACTCTTGGCTACCAGTGGCTCAAAAGCAACTCCTCCTGCTTTCCACTGGTGTATGTCACTAGCCCCAATAAGTGTTGAAGTTCTCCACTTAAGGGGCTAGTAGAGAAGGTGTTACACTGCTGTAAATATGCACCCCATTTGGCCAGTGTAGGCATCTGTGCTATGACACTCCGTGCCCTTTAGGCCCAGTCTCGCACCCACCCTGCAACAGGATAGGTGGTTATTAGCTTGGTCACAGCTGTTCTGGTGATGGGCTCCATAGACAGCAAGGTGTGGTACACAGCAGTGAGCTGCTTCTCTATCAAGGTGTGCCAGACCTCTGCTCCTTTTCATAGTTGTAAACAGAATCCAATAGGTTGGCATGTCCATTCAGGCCACTGCCAAAATCCCCATCCATAACCACCTTTGGTTACATGAACATCCAGTTCATAAGGCCTTGATGAGTCCATTACATTTAAGGCCTATATAGCCTTGACTGCCCATTTAGCAGCAGTAAAAGCATCTGGACATGAGTCATCCCAGTCCCACCTGATGTCCTTTCACACCACTGG